TAATATAAATCTCGCGAATTTATTTGTAGAATTTAATTTATGTAAATATAAAATATTCTTTATTTGAATTAACGTTAATATAAATCTCGCGAATTTATTTGTAGAATTTAATTTATGTAAATATAAAATATTCTTTATTTGAATTAACGTTAATATAAATCTCGCGAATTTATTTGTAGAATTTAATTTATGTAAATATAAAATATTCTTTATTTGAATTAACGTTAATATAAATCTCGCGAATTTATTTGTAGAATTTAATTTATGTAAATATAAAATATTCTTTATTTGAATTAACGTTAATATAAATCTCGCGAATTTATTTGTAGAATTTAATTTATGTAAATATAAAATATTCTTTATTTGAATTAACGTTAATATAAATCTCGCGAATTTATCCATACATTTTATTCTATGTAAAATATAAAATATTCTTTATTTGAATTAACGTTAATATAAATACCGCGTTTTATTTGTACCTTTTTATCGATGTAAATAATAACATTAATCTAATCATAATTATTATATAATATTTTATTAAAATACTACTATATATTTTTTATAATAATATTATTATAAAAAATATAGAATTAATATATATTTTTTCTAAATTATATTAAAATGATTAAAAACTTTTTTACAAGTATATAGTCGGAAACTCCACATGGGTGGTTGTCAAAATTAGGATCCCTTTTTGGGTCCCTATCATAATACGGCACCTAATATTTAGGGTACCCCAAAAAGGGACCCTAATATTGACAATCACCCACATAGGTGTTCATGGACAAAGTGCACCAGCTTTTGGACAGCCTCCCGCAGGCTCAGCGCTTCAAAAGATTCTTGGGAAACTGGGCTTCAGGTCTGGTTTCTCAAAATAGCGGCCCAAATAGCTACGTATACTATTTTTTTGGGGGAGTTCCTTATTATAGTTGTAAGATGGGCCCCAGAACCCTGTTCTGGTTATTAAGGCCCCGATCTTAACCTTTTCTAACATTGGCCATTGGGTCTCAGGAAGTTGTTTCGGCCGACTCGCAACGGGGTTGTGGAACGTGTTCTGCCTCTGTTTTCTTTCATTTTTTTATGTTTTCTGATTTTGGGCCACAGGGTTTGATGCGGGCAAGTGATGATCTTTCAGGATTTGAGCTGCCTACTGTAGGGGCCTTAACAGTGACCTATACGAGTGTGGGGGTTCCTTAGCATAACTATGACAAAACGGGTCCCCCAAACCCTATTCTTATTATGAAGGCCCCTACATTAAACCCGAATCCCCCCAAACCCGGAAGGCAATGACGACTTCTTTGCTTCCTATTTCTCCCGCTACCGCTCTACCCGAACTACTGCGGGTACTGCTCCTGCTGCTGAAACCTTGAATCTGAAACCCCGAGCTCTTAATTTGGCGTTAAAAGCGCTTGTAGAACCCTTCATGCAGTCGAGGCCGCTGCGCCCCCACTCTGTAATAGTGGTATAATAGGAATATAATAGGGCCCTACTATAATCGTTATAGTCACTATTACAGGCTGCGCCCCCAGAGTTCACATCACCGGCCTCTGATGTCTCCATCGAGCCGGGCCATCGTCCAGCCTCCGAGGCTTCATCGGGCTCTGTGGATTTGGGGGCTGTTCTAAATTATGGTCCCTTTTTGGGCCCTATAGTAGTATAGTCCTTCTTATAAAGGGTACCCCAAAAGGGACCATAATTTAGAACAGCCCCCATTTGGGGTTGAGTGTTAGGGGTTTACTTGGCGTTGTAAGGGTTAGGGGTTTAGTGTTGTAGACTCTAGAATTTCGTTCAGGGTGTTGTCGGGGTGTTTAAAGTTGATAGAAGTACTCGCCATAGAGGCAAGAAGCCCAACGAAAACGATCAAGCCACCAACGACCGAAGCGCGAAAAAACACAGAAACTCTAAACCCTGAACCCTAAAACCCTGAACCCCAAAACCTCAAACGACACAGAACATTGAACTCTGCATTTATCCTTCCTGCAATGGACAAGGCCGGAGCTTTTTGTGGGTTTAGGGCTCTGGGGTGTAGGCTATAGGGTTTAGGGGTTGAGGGTTACTAGGCTTTGGGGTGTGGGATGTTGGGGTTTAGGGCTTAGGCTTTAGTTTAGGTTAGGGTTTATAGGGTTATTAGGCTTTAGGGTGTGGGGTTTCGGGCTCAGGGTTTAGGGCTTAGGGTTTGAGGGTTTAGGAACTCAGAGTTCAGAGTCATAGAGGCAGGTCCTGTGCAAGTTTCTTTCGGCTTAGGCGTTCCAAGATGCTACAGAGCTTCTACAAAGCTTCGACGAAGGATCTCGAGACCCACGACTGAGCCCTACTTAAAGAGGAGCAGGACTTAGTAACTACGGTTGATGATAGAAATCCTGCACTACCCATAATATGGAATACTGTATACCATTATTCCCATAGTTTAGGGTCCTTAAAGTAATGCGGGATTTATATGATCAACAGTAGGGTCAGCATTAAGGTACATGACTATAATTCTAACTACCTTATAACCCCACTTAAGGTACATATAACCATACTTACTAAGTCCCATGATCCTCCAAGTGTCTTTTTGAATCAACGCCAGGCCAAAGAGGGAGGGGCCAGCGCCGACTCCACCGCAGATGCTGGGGACTTGAACGGGGATCATTCCGTCGTTTGGTCGCCGGTGAATGGGAGCGCGGCAAGTCAGGGCAAGGAGGGGTTGAGGGCTGTCCTTTTTTGGGGAATGTACTTTTCTAGACAACAGATCCTGGCCATGAAACTAGATACCCGAGAAAAGAGGTAGGGTATGATCGTATGACCTTCTAGGTACGGGCTTTAGACTTTTGTTTAAGGCTATCGGACCATAACCAAAGAAGAATATTCTGGGATTAGGTTCCGGCTCCAGTTTTAAGGTGGGGGTTAGGGTTCAGGGTGTAGGGTTTAGGACAATAAAACACCTTCCAGTCGCCGTTCACAGGAAGTAAGGAAGAGGTTTGAGCAGCCAGGGTCATAAGTCATAAGTTTAAAGGGCGACTGTTTTCGGGAGTCTTTCATTATGTCTTCAGGATCTCACTACTGAGGGTACCTTGGGGTCCCTTCTTCTCTGAAACTTCACCGATTTTGACAGGAGGAAACTGCGACGCTGGGTGCTCTTGCGGACGTTTCGGAGCCCGTGTACCACGATGAGGATCCCAACAGGCCGTTGAGAAGATATTCATAACAAATCATCGGATTTAGGATTAGGTTTACGAGCTGTGGCTTCGGGGTTAATTAGGGTATCCGGGGTTTGTCCTGGAGATGTTTTCAAACTGAAGGGAACCTGAGGGCGTAGCCTGAATTGACGATCTTGGGCCAAATCTCCAAGCGCAAGCATAGAAGTCATCTGCGAAAATGGGGTGGGTACAGCGGTCTAGGTTAACTGTGTAGGGGCTCATGGTTGAGTCAGAGTGCTGTTTGCTGAGTCCCGTGAGTTGCCACAGTCTTCCATGATACATGCAGGGATGGTGGTTCTACATGTTCGTGGATAAACCCTTGGCCCCTAAGGCCTAATACCCCTACACCAGACACCCTACAACCCCTAAGCCAAAACCCTAGAGTAAAAGCCAGAAAGTTGGAATATGATTATTTTAAACCCTTTATGGTAAATTTTAAGGTATCCTACCCTGAAACCATATTCCAACTTTCTGGAGTTCCCTTTAAAGGCCTAAGTAGAAGTCAGCTAGGGAGCCTGAGTTGCATCAGCCCCATCATTTGAATAGCCTCTCATGCTTGACCTGGGCTTACCCGTCAGGCGTGAAGAGGCAGGACCCGCACACCCCAAACGAACTCGATCCCCAATGCCACGCTTGCAACAACAACAACAACAGCGACGACGACGACAACAGCAACAACGGCAGCAACAACAAAAACAAGAAATCGAAACTCCAGACCGTAGGCATTGCCAATTCCCATTAGTCGTACACCTGCAACCTAAGCCACCAATCCTAGACAACACACCCATGCCTAAGGTCACAGAGCCTCCCCGCCACATCTGGAACCCGGATCTCAGAACCTAAGCGCAAGCTACAAACAACACCGCCCGAAAAACCACAGAAGAACACACAGCCCCCCTCCGCCACTTCGACAGCCACACTAGTAAGAATATCAGCCATAAACATATTACTAACAAAGATAACAGTTATCATCATCATAGTCATAGAAAAATGAAGAACAATAGTAGCAGCAACAATAAGTGACAATGATGCCAATAATAGCAACTAAAGTAGCAACATCGATAATAATTGCAACACCACACCACACGCACAAAACAACCAAAACACACACACACACACAACACACACACACACACACAACACACACACACACACACAACACACACACACACACACACAAACAAACAACCCTAAGCCCTAAACCCCTGAACCCTAAACCCCTGAAACCCTAAACCCCTCAACCCCCAAGCCCCTAAACCCCCCAAATCCCTAAACCCTAAACCCCACAACCCCCAAGCCCCTAAACCCCTAAAATCCCTAAACCCTAAACCCCCCAAACCCCTAAAGCCCTAAAATCCCTAAATCCCTAAACCATAAACCCCCAAACCCCTAAAGCCCTAAACTCCCCAAACCCAGGGCCAGGTCGCCAGTGCCCCGGTCGGTGACAGCGCCGCCGAGGCGGCTGGGCCGGTGGCCCTCCTCGAAGTCCTTCACAAGGAGCCCTGAGCTTTGAGGGTTCCTTTGAGGGGATACCTTAAAGGATCCTTTAGGGTTTAGGGCTTCGAAGTCCTTCACAAGGAGCCCTGGGCTCCTGTGAGGGTTCCTTTCAGGGATCTGTAGGGGCTCCTTTAAGGGATTTCTAGGGGTTCTCTAAGTTCAGGGGATCAAAGTGGGTTCTATAAAGGGCTCCTTGCAGGCATCTCCAGGGGTTCTAGGATCTCTAGGACGTCCTTTCAGGCTTCCTTTCAGGGTTTTATAAAGGGCTCCTTTGAGGGGATACCTGGAAGGATCCCATGAAGGATCCTTTAAGGGATCTCTAGCGGTTCTATAAGGCTTCCTTTAAGGGATCAGGGTTCCTTGAAGGGTTCTACGACAAGCCTATAAGGCTTCCTTTAGGGGCTCTTTTGAAGCTTCCTTTAAGGGATCTCTAGGGGTTCCTTGAAGGGTTCTATAGGATAGGGTTTTCCGACTTTTGACGGCAGCCCCTGACGAGGATGACATCCCCGACGTGACTCGGCTTCAACAGAGTTTTAGGTTCTCTTTGTCAAAGTTGGCTAACATTTTACATGTTTATGGGTACTTAAATCGAATAAGGAATGAAAAATTAGATTCTTAATCCTCTCACAATCATGAACTAGTTCTGTTAATTTCCACGAAGACACAACAACACAAAAGCCAGTTACTTGCGCTTGCATGCAAAGGATGACAAAGTAGCTCGCAAGAGAAAAACCTAAGAAAAAAGCCTCAGTGACCGGCCTTGGCGAGGAAAGCTTCACAAACCCGAAACAGTCCTCGAACCCAACAATCAGTGGCACCTTGGTTATACATGCTTTCAAGGGCCTGAACTACAACCCAGTTAGACCTTGAAGCACAGAGCCTCATATGGCCTCAATGATTATCTACAGGAGTTCCTAATTATAATTTAAGTATATTGGGCCCCCCAAACCCTGATCTATTTATTTACGCCCCTATATTACGACCCCTACCCTATAATGGGCTAGATAATGGGTATATAATAGCTATATTAAGGGTATAGACCCAGGGGTCCTTATAAAGGGTCCCTCCTTTTGCCCTTGGATTGAAGCACTGAGCCCGCGAAGCCCTGCACTTCCCAGGCGCATCGTGGTGCAGACGCTGCCTCCAACGAGATTCCAATCGCTGGGGGACTCTTTAGGCGTCGCTAGGTCTCGCATTCAGCCGGTTTCGGGTTATATTAGAGCTTCAAGGGTTCGAGATTTCTCGCTTTAAGGTTTTGGTGTTAAAGTTTACGGCATGGGCTTAATCAATTAGGCTCCCAGGCTGAAATTAGGCTTCACTTTATTTCCCATTTTTTGTGAGGGTCGGATTTTGAGCTAGCCGCTAGCCTGCAGTTCTCAGACTTTATCAACTCCTGCGCAAACTGTTCTAAGCCCTCAACCCCCGACCCCAAAAACCCTGAAACCCTAAATCCTTAAGCCTTATTAGGGTTTAGGGTTTAGGGTTTATTGTAAACCCTGAAGCCCTAAATCCTCAACTGATCAGCAGCCCCCAAACCCGAAACTCCTATAGACCTGGACCCCCGGAGCCCCTCCCAGACTTGACCCTGGAAACCCCGCCGACCTAAAGGGTCTACTTGGAGGCCCTGTTGACTTAGTAAGTCTACTTAGTATCCGCTAGAAACCCTATTATAATCCCCATAACCCACCTTACTAACCCTACTTACTAAGTCAAAAGGGCCTCCACGTAGGCTTTAGCATTATCCACTTCCACTTCGAAGGTAGAACCCCTTAACCCTACCAGCCCCAAACCCGGTTAGAAGCATGGGCTTAGTAGCTAGGGTTATAATCAAGGCAATTGTACTTATTATAATTACTTGCAACCCCACTTAAGTTGCGTATAATAACTTGACTTACTAATTCCAATCATCCTCCAAGTACTTGAAGCCTGTAGAGACCGTCGCTGCTTAGTTTCCTAAAACCCAACATCCCTACGGCCTATCGGTCCCAAGCCCGCTTAGAAGCCCTACCTGACTGCCTGTTTCCGAGGCCACCACCATGCTTCCAAGCGAGGGCGAGACCCCGGCCACCTGGAGCAGGGTTATACTAATTGTTTTCGAGAAGTAGGGGTACCTTTAAAGGGATCCGTAAGGGTTCCTTCAAGGGCTTCTATAAGGGATGTATAGGGATTAAGGGTTCGGCCAGCTGGCACAGGGTGATATCCCCACCAGGCTCCAAAGTAAGGATACACCGTTTAAGGTTTATAAAGGGCTTTAGGGATAGGGTTTAGGGTTTACATAGGGCTTAGGGTTCATTTGGGAGGCCACCTGGCGCAGGGTTATAAGGCTCTGGAGGGTTTCGGGTTTCGAAAATTAGGGGTACCGTTAAAGGGATCCTTTAAGGGTTCCTATGAGGGATCTATAGGGTTTGGGGTTTGAGAGTTTCCGAAAATTAGGCGTACCTGATTTTGGGGTCCTTATATAATAAGGATCCTACTATTGAGGGTACGAGAAAAGGGTGGCACTGTTTTCGGAAACCTCCAGAATGGTGTGGAGGGTTTCGGGTTCCCTGTTGTTAAGGGTTCGTTGGAGGACTCTATAAGGGTATAGGATTTAATCTGATGGTTCCTTCAAGGGTCCGGCTGGGGTTTAGGGTTTAGGGTTGGGAGTTCAGCAAAAATGTAGGAAGACCAGCACAGATCATCCCCCGTCGGAGTTCCAGCATTTTTGGTGGTGAATCATTGGGTTTCGGGCATGGGTCTCCGGTAGACTGGCTTGCTGCTTGGAGTTATGTTTCATTCCTGTGGGTATAGAAATAAACTTGAACCCTAGACCCCTATCAACCCTAAACCCCAAAGCGAAACCTTTGGTAAGCTATGCTTCTTTTGTGTGTATACATGCATGTACGTACGCAATACAGAGTTATTTATGTACCTATTGATCTTGTCGGTGCTCAAAATACGTACGATTATAGAATTTATTCAGGATTTGTCCAGACCGTTTGTGCAGTAGGGCCCTGACAGAGCTCGATGAGGTCGGGTTTAGGGTTTTCTGGTTTTACTGTTTAGGGTTTTAGTGTCTAGTGGTTCAGGGGCTTGGGGGTTTTAATTTAGGGTTCAGGGGTTTAGGGGTTCAGGAGACTTGAACCCAAAGCCCTCGACCTAAATCAGTCTACCACGTCAGCTCAAAAGCCCTAGCTCCAAATCCTAAACTTGGGTACGGCCCCCACTCAGTAACAGTTGGATAATATTCATAATACAGATATATACGGCCCTTGATAGTAGCCCCATTACAGACTGTTACTGTATGGGGGCTGTACCCAATCCTAAACCCTAAAACCGGAAGACCTCGAATTTCCAGACTCCAAAAGCAACCCAGGTCTCCATCACACAGACGCCCGGCTCAAGATCAGCAGCTTAAGGGTTTAGCGTTTATATAGGGTTTAGGGTCGATTGGACCTATATTATAGTACAAAGTACGGTTCTCATTGTTACGGTATTATTTTAAATCAAGTTCCTACAGATGAGCCCAGGCGGCCCGGCTCAAAATCGCAACAGCTCTCGGCGACCCTGCCGCTGCAAGTGGTCATGGCCCACGAGCGAGGCCGAGTGGTCGAGCAAGTAACCTTTTACGTTTCTCCCTCAAGGTCTAGGGTTTGTGGTGAACCCATCTAGAAACCCAGTGCCAGAGGTTAAGCTTTAATTTTTTCTATGGAGCGGAACAAGCAAGGAGGTCGCAAAAACCTGGGACTTGGCCACGACAAGCCCGAACCGGTGAGGTTCGTGTCGGCAAACGCGAGCACTGTCGTGGCTCACGAGCGGGGTCGCAAGAACTTCGGGCAGGAAAGTCGTGGAGAGCATGTCGAAGCTGTCCGGTTCATCTCTGCGAGCGGCAGCCACAGGAGAGAATACTCACTGGAGACGCCCCCTGCACAGATCCCTCAAGCCAGCTACCGGGCAACTTCCTCGGATGCGCAGCCGAAGACTCCGCAGATGCCTTGCAGGACTTCGCAGGCACGGTATCAGACTTCCCCTCAACCTCGACAGGCACATCATGTGATACAACCTCAACCTCAGCCGGCTCAGCCCGTGGTGCAATCACCACAGCGATACCCGCTTCTGGGCCACCAGCTGCAATCGCCGCAACACCGCGTGCAATATTTCAGCCCGCAAGCTCAGAGTTATGCCCCCGCTATGGGGCCGATCGGCACCACACCCATGGTGGTGCCACGTCTGCCGGGCGCCAACCTCACAGTTCTTCCTCCGCAGACCGTGGTTTGGCCCGGACAGAGGTGACGACCGAAAGCTTCGAAGCTGTGGGTGGCAAAAGAGGCGCAGGCTGCGGTCGAAGTCCTATACACCCTATATCATATAGTATTGTTATACTATATTATATTAGATTCTATCATATTATAGTTTATTATATATGTGAGTTTAACCTATACCTAAATTCTGATCTTCTTTGTCGATATGCTCAGGTGTTAGGAATACTCAAATGTTGGCCCACCCCCGAAACGGATGGCACGCATTCAAATTATGGGGGCAGCATGGTCATGCAGCATGCTTGACATGGTATGGTGTGGTATGGCCATGATACCATCCCCCCAGAGGCCCAGAAACTATAGATAGTGACTAATTATAGTATGCCTCAATTACAGAACACTCCTTAAAATCTAGTCGGCGATGCTGGTACAAATACGAGTACGACCACGACCACTTCCAGTCCCACTGTTACTGCTACTGCCATCACTACTGCTACTATTTACTTACTACTACCACGACCAGTAGCACTACCGCCTACCGGTACCACGACAACCTCTACCGCTAGCATTGGCGCTACTCCGACGATGACGACGACTGCATTCTTCTACCACCACCACTGCCAGCAGAAGCAGTTCGTTACTGTTGTCGCTGTCGTTGTGGGTTTTGTTGCTGGTGTTGCTGTCTGCAGTTCCCTGTGTCTCGAGGGCTCAGATCACATTTTGCAGTTCGCCTACAAGTCTCAGGCGTACTACAACACACAGCCTTCGAAGGCTCTAAAGGCCAGCAAGCCATGGGTCAGAACAAACACTAAACCCTAAGGGGCTGCCCTTCTCATGGCCCCTGTGATTATACCAAGCCATCAGTGATTGAATTCGCTTGCATACCCTGAACCGCTTATCCTAAACCCCTGAAAAAACAAACCCCTAAACCGCTACAAACCCGCAACCCCACACCCCCAAAACCTAAACCCTAAAGCCTGCAACCCTAAACCGCGACGCTTGAGAGGCCCCCTGCATGTAGACACCTACCGAGTCGGCCCCATGAAAGTGGAGAAGCACCTCGACTCGCCAGTTGTTTTCAGGTTTTTGGTTCGAGGTCTGGGCAAGTAAGATACGGCTAGTAACTAACCATTGATATTATGGGAGCTAAGGAGCCAGGGATGATGATAATCCCTATTAGATAAGGAGCTAAAGAGCCAAGGGAACCCCCAAAACCACTGGATAGGTAATCATAGTAGCGATAGGTCTGAGCAAGTAGAGTAACATTAGTCAGTAGTCATAGTAGCGATAGTGATCATAGCAATATTGGTCCTTAGTAGCAATAGTAGCCCTGGGCAGTCCCTTCGTGCTCGAGGTTAGGATTTAGTAAATTTAGTGCTTGAAGGTTGGGGATTTGTGCTGTAGGTTTCAGGACTTTAGGGCAGGAATTCGGGTTGTGCGGCATAAAAAGAGCCCCCATCTTAATCTGCTGGACGGCCATGGTTGAGGAGTGTTGGAAGTGAACTAACCATTGATATTATGGGAGCTAAGGAGCCAGGGATGATGATAATCCCTGTTAAATAAGGAGCTAAAGAGCCAAGGGAACCCCCAAAACCACTGCATAGTTAAGGGAATGCATTACGGCTTAAGCTTCTATACCTGCAACGTCTCGTAGATAATCTTCACTGACGCTGTGAAGCTCACTTAACCGCGTCCGTGGCCTGAAAAAATCGACCCCCAACGAACTCCAGCCCTGAACCGCAACCTGAAACCCAAGCATTTCCAAACCTTTGCAAGACTCTAATATGGGTGGTTGTCAAAATTATGGTCCCTTTTCGGGTCCTAATATAGTACGGCACCTAATCTTTAGGGTGCCGAAAAAGGGACCCTAATGTTGACAACCACCCATATAGGGGCCTTAATAATCAATTGCCTATACTGTTTAGGGGTTCCTTGGTATAATGGGCCCTAAGACCCTATTCCAATTGGTAAGGCCCCGATCGTAAGCCCAGCCACCTCAATCCAAACCCGAGAGCCCATGAGCCCCAAACCTGTCTGCCAGAAAGCAATAACTGGAAAAACACAAAAACACCCACGCCTCCCTGAAATGCACCATCTGCCTACTTAAACCCCAAAGCGGTTTAGGGTTTAGGATGGACCCCAAGCCCTAAAAGATCTTGACGATAATCCCATGAAAATTCTGAACCGTCTACACCAAGCACTTCAACCCCTTACAAGGAATAAGCCCTACGGCTGATGATGCAAATCCTGCATTACCTTAAGGATCCTAAACTATGGGAATTATGGTAAATCCCTGGTCTGGGTAATGCAAGATTTATTTCATCAACAGTACGTCATGCCCAGGCAGCCTTTTGCCATGATCCGGGACCTCCCCCGCACAGGGCTGGATGTTCTGTAGCCGGTGTTCTGGAATTTCGGCAGGGTTGTTTATTCATGTGCTTTGCAGTACCGTTATGATTGTTGTTTACTGTAAACGGCTTCTGCTTGTGATTTTTGCAGTCGTTTTGTTTTTGCTGATTTGGCGCTGCAGCTGTACAGTTTACGTTTATTCTGGAGTTTACCCATAGGCTCCATAGTAGTTCCCTTTTGGGGTTCATATTCAGACTCCCATAGTATAATCCCAAAAAGGAACTTCTGTGGAGCCTATGGGTAGTAATTTATAGTAAAAGGTTCTGGTGCAGCGGATGGGTTGCTTCAAGATTTGATACGTTGCCTTGTTGCTTTCTGACCTTGAAGCCCTGAAGCAAATTCCTCAGCACCTAATTAAAGCAATAAACTATAAAAGTGGCTACCACATTTCTTCTTCGCGTCACATCGGGTATTGCTGAAGCCCTTGATACACACCTACGAACTCCATAGTCGACCCCCGCACACTGACAGAACCCTCTTCAACACCCCCAAACCCGTGATGTCGAATTGGGGCAAAGCATAAGCCTGAATAGTTGGCGTTGGTAACGCTGCTCTTGAGGGTTCCCTCGCAAGAGTTTCAAGGCCCCTATACTAGTTTGCGAGGAGATGAGCGGCGAGGTCTTTGGTTCCTTCCCCTTCGAAGGCGTGCTGCTTGTAACCGGCAACCACCGCACCGGATAGAGTCCTACGGGTCCAAGTACCTCATTTAGTCATATACTCCCCCAAGTTCCAGCTTGCATATCCGCTGTTCAATACCCGAGGACCTAATTATTGGGGACCTTTTGGGCAAAAATAAGCCCTCGACCCTAACTCCGCTTACACCCTGCATCCTGGACCCAACTCATGCGGCTCCGTCCTCCCGGCCGGTCATAGTAAGACTCACCATAAGCCCTGAGCCCCGGGGTTTGGGATGTAGGGTTGGGGGGGCTTTCGGCTAAGGGTCTTTAGAGCTTCAGGTCTTGAGGTCCTTTGGCTGCCAAGCAACATCAGGGGCCAAAGCTTGGCAGCGTTTCGGGTTCATGAGATTCTCAAAGGTTCGGTATCCTAAACCCTAAACCCCTAAACCCCTAAACCCTAAACCCCGTAGGCTCTGACGTTCAAGGTTTAGGTTCTGACGGTGCCTTGCTCATTGGCTGACATCCAAAACCATAAGGGTAGTTGTCAAAATACTATCGGGGCCTTAATAATTGGAATAGGGTCTTAGGGCCAAATATAACAAGGAACCCCTAAATAGTATAGGCAATTGATTATTAAGGCCCCTATATGGGTAGTTGTCAAAATTAGGGTCTGTTTTTTTGGAGACCCTAAATATTAGGTGCCGTACTATATTAGGGGCCCCAAAAGGGACCATAATTTTGACAACCAGCCATAAGCTACCCGAGTTGTGCATGCATCCGGCTGAGTTGGCATTTCGGTGCGGATAATAGAGCCTCATTGATTACAACGCTCTTCCTTAGGGTTCCTTATCTTATGTGTACCGTAACCGTAATATGTCCCTAATTAAACCCTATTCTAATTTTCTCAGGACCCCTGTGTTCCTAGACCCCCCAGCTACCGTCTAATATACCCCAAATACCTACGATTAAGGGCCATTACGGCTCCATTAAAGGGCCATTGGGGGGTCCTGGTTATCTTCTGGGAGCAGAGACATGGTTGGGTGGGATCTGGAAGATCTCCGAATTGGGGATTCTCAGACCGCAGTTTCCTGCTGTTTCTCTACAGTTTAGGGTTTTAGGGTTTAGGGTTTAAGGGTTTCGGGTTTAAGGACTTAGGGTTTAGGGTTTAAGGGTCTGGGGTTTTTAAGATTTAGGGTTTAGGGTTTTAGGGTTTAGGGTTTAAGGGTTTAGGGTTTAGGGTGGCCATGACTGGACAAAAGCCGCGGAGTCAAAGCCAGTATTCCGTGTATGTATATATATATATATATATAGTATAGTATAACCATATTCTACATGCTCATGACCCCCAAGTTGCTTGTTGTTTTCCCGAAACTGAAAACACCGACGCAGGCATACTGGGCTTAGCGTTTCCTTCGCTCTCCTTCGGTGGCATTGAGCCCTTCTTCGACCTTTGGCAGCTGTTGGTAATGGTTTAGGGTTTAGGCTTAGGATCAAGGGATGTGGGTTTAGCGTTTCGTGTTTAGAGATTAGAACTTAGGGCTTATGGGTAGTGTGTTTCTTTCGGCGTCTGCGGCCTTGTGTTGTGCCAAACCAGCTTTTCGCAAGCTGCTAGACGAGGTTTCCCAGTAATGGGTTCTTGAAAGGGTTCTGTAAGGGACCCTGAAACGGGTTCTATAAGGATCTATAGGAGCGTAGGTCTACTAGGTTCCTCAAATAGTAGTGCCCTCTTGCCCTGACTTTTTTTGAATGCCCTTCTTAGAACCGAATAGTAGGAATAGACGGAAACCTAGTATAGTAGAGGGTGGTTGTCGAAATTAGGGTCCCTTTTTGGGTACCCTAAATAATAGCTGCAGTATTATATTCACGACCCAAGAAGGGACCTTAGTTTTGACAACTACCCAGAGTAGACTATAGGGGCTCTTTGAAGGGCTGTTTTCTTTGCTCAAGCCTTGGAGACGTAAAGTTGTTTACTACCGTTTTCCACACGGTTGGCTTACCCCTAGGCCCC